GTGTTTTAGGTAAGGAGGACCTGCTGTCCCAGAAGGACTTTGAGTCCGCCTCTCTGATGGAGATCAGAGCCCTGATGAGGAAGCACGAGGCCTTCGAGAGCGACCTGGCAGCTCACCAGGACAGAGTGGAGCAGATCGCTGCCATCGCCCAGGAGCTCAAGTAAGACTTCTCTAGTGTACTGCAGGTGTATCTGTCTGTTTCAAAGTTACAGTGCATGGAAAGAAACGGGTGGGACATAAAAAGTGTGTAACTGAGAGAGAATGGTGATATTCTGAGATTTGTCAGAGGCAGGCGAGGAACTCAGTGAAGAACAAAAGACGAATGGGATGAATAGAGAAGATTTTAATGAGCGACATATACCAGATGAAAGGAGGGTTCATGAAAGAGCAGAAACCTCTGATCTCACTTGTTCTTATTCCTCACCACTCCTCAGGCTTCTTTGATGCTACTTACAGTTAAATATGAGCCGTTCAGCATCTTAAAGCTGAATATGTATGTGCGCCACAAATCATTTATCATCCATAACTTCAAAAGGAAAATGTTATCAGATGACCTTTGGAACGCAGGATGAAAAAAAAAATCACAACTGTGTGATGGAATTAAATATTCAAATGGTGCCGGGACAGATATTTGGGGAAGATTTGGTGCAACTTAAAGGAAAGTTTCTTCATTCTGACATGTATTCATCATGTCGTCTTCTCCGACAGTGAGCTGGACTACCACGATGCTGCCACAGTCAACACCCGCTGTCAGGGCATCTGTGACCAGTGGGACAACCTGGGCACCCTGACCCAGAAGAGGAGAGACTCTCTGGAGGTACGGCACCCAAAACGTCAAATTACATGAAGGTTAGTTGGGTTTGAGTCAACGTTAAAGAAGTGTCTTATTTATTATGTGTGTGTTTGTGTGTGTGTGTGTGTGTGTGTAGCGTGTGGAGAAGCTGTGGGAGACCATCGACCAGCTGTACCTGGAGTTCGCCAAGAGGGCGGCGCCCTTCAACAACTGGATGGACGGAGCCATGGAGGACCTTCAGGACATGTTCATCGTCCACAGCATCGAGGAGATCCAGGTACGGCCAGAGTCTCACACACACACACACACACTGTACAGTCCTTACTGTATACATCTGAGTTTGTCTTTTCTCTTCAGTCAGGCTGGTAAGAAATATGGTCCTGAGTTTATGGATTTTACCCTTTTAGGATTTAAAATATCAGTTTCTAACCACTTTAAATCACAGAATTTTCTTATGCGATCATTTACCTTTAGCTCAACTCACTCCTGTTTGTTTCATGTCTTAGAGAAACACTCCTGTTGGCATCTATAAATATAAAAAAATCCTAAGAAGAGTTTCCTTTTTATCTAATTTGCTGCCTAAAAAGGAAATGATTAAGGGATAAAAGTTTTATACTTAAAGCTTTCATGTAAAAGTCATTTTTAAGTGTGACGTTGACTGACTCAAGCCGTCAGCATTGAAGTGAAAAGTCGCCGCCACACGCCCCTTTGCGTCCTCCTCATTTGAAGCTCTGTTTCTTGATTTTCTTTTTTCAGAGTCTGATCACGGCTCACGACCAGTTCAAGGCCACTCTGCCCGAGGCCGACAAGGAGCGCATGGCCACCATGGGAATCCACAACGAGATCCTGAAGATCGCCCAGACCTACGGCATCAAGCTGTCCGGAATCAACCCTTACACCACCCTCTCCCCCCAGGACATCAGCACTAAGTGGGACGCTGTGAGTGTAACCGTACTGAGTGGGATTCATCAGACCAGTATTTATCTAAAACAAACCGTGATGCTCTTTTCTGTTTGACGTCCGTCTGTGCGCTGCGTTCTGAAAAGACAGCAGCAGGTCTGAATTCATTCAGAAGAAGCTGATGAGACTTCATTGAATTTGTCCCCCTGCAGGTGAAGCACCTCGTTCCCCTCAGAGACCAAATGCTCCAGGAGGAGGTGGCCAGACAGCAGGCCAACGAGAGACTGAGGCGCCAGTTTGCTGCCCAGGCCAACATCATCGGACCCTGGATTCAAACCAAGATGGAGGTCCGGAGTCATTTAAAGCTTTGAACTAAGATGCTCTAAATAGTTCACCGGAGTTTAAAGATGTTTGATGATGCAGTAGTGTCAATTATTTACCCTTATTTATCTTGAAATAATGTTGAACGTGTCAAATTACAATAGATAAAGAAAGAGTCGTGCTCGTTTAGTTTTAAAAGGAGCAAATGAAACGAGATCTTCAGAGTCACCTCGGGACATGTCGTTGTGCTCCTCTGTGCTCCTGCAGGAGATCAGCCACGTGTCTGTGGACATCGCCGGCTCTCTGGAGGAACAGATGAACAGCCTGAAGCAGTACGAGCAGAACATCATCAACTACAAATCCAACATCGACAAGCTGGAGGGAGACCACCAGCTCAGCCAGGAGTCCCTCATCTTCGACAACAAGCACACCAACTACAACATGGAGGTACAGAGGACTCCACAGCAGCCGTCACAGTGCCCTCCACCTCCACCACCACCACCACCACCTCTCCGTTTTCTCTGAATATAATCATTTATTCTCTTCTGTTCCTGCAGCACGTGCGCGTGGGCTGGGAGCAGCTGCTCACCACCATCGCCAGAACCATCAACGAGGTGGAGAACCAGATCCTGACCCGCGATGCCAAGGGTATCAGCCAGGAGCAGCTCAACGAGTTCAGGGCCTCCTTCAACCACTTCGACAGGGTGAGGCGTTCACTGACCACCAAAAGGAACCTTTGACCGCAAGAAACGCACAAACGACATGATGGATGCTTTGTAAAACCCCAAACCTGTCATCGTGCATGTTTTTTTGTTTTTTTTGTGTCCTCCATGAAGTTGAAAACTTCTCAAGTCTTTTGTCAAATCTCTTCAGGCTTGCAAGAAAACATCTGCTTCATCATCTTTTCTTTTTGTTTTCTCTGCAGAAGAGAAACGGCATGATGGACCCAGACGATTTCCGTGCCTGCCTCATCTCCATGGGTTACGATCTGGTGAGTGGAAGATTTCTATTTTCAGGACAAAATGACTCTCCAGTTAAACTTTCATTTTGTTAAAGAATGTTTAATATGTGGTTGTCCTCCCGCCGTGCGCAACGAGCTGATCCAATCCTCTCCTCTTGACAGGGTGAGGTGGAGTTTGCTCGCATCATGACCCTGGTGGACCCCAACAACACGGGCGTGGTGACCTTCCAGGCCTTCATCGACTTCATGACCCGCGAGACCGCCGAGACCGACACCGCGGAACAGGTCATGGCCTCCTTCAAGATTCTGGCCTCAGACAAGGTGAGCATGACGGATGTGTGACCTCATCAGGAGCTTGTTTTTCGACTTTAGGAAAGTTTCTTCTCTGAACACGACGCCCTCTGATCTCTCCTGCAGAACTACATCACAGTGGACGAGCTGCGCAGGGAGCTGCCGCCCGAGCAGGCCGAGTACTGCATCACCCGCATGACCAGGTACATTGGATCCGACGGCCCCTCTGGCGCCCTGGACTACATCTCCTTCTCCAGCGCCCTGTACGGCGAGAGCGACTTATAAACACAGCCGCTCCTCTTCACCTCCTCCTCCCCAGCTCCCGCCGTCTCTCCTCTGTGGAGAGAGCAATTTAAACCCCTTCCACTGTCCTTCTAGTTTCTTTCTTCTTCTGATTTTTTTTTTCCCCCTTTTGACTCTTCTTTCCTCTCCTCCCCCCCCCTTCTCCTCCCGTCCCTCCTTTCACACCTCAAACACCGCCCAGAGAGGGGGGAGAGTAGCAGACTTTGCTCGAATCTCAAAAAGCAGGTCCCTCGTTTCTGTCAGAGTGCCTAAAATAAAGAAAGCCGGAATGTGCCGGGAATTGCACTGAACTTATGTAAGCAGCGTACATGTAACAGACCTGCCTTCAGGAGACGTTAAACAGACGGAGGTGACGAGGGAGAAAAAGTGAGATATGTCGAGCAAAGCCTCCTGCTCTCCCTCTCTCTCTCTCTCTCTCTCTCTTTCAGATGACATATTTTTTTGTAGAAGGGTAATTAAAGAAGAAGACGTGATAAAAAAAAAAAAGCTGGTTGGTCAGTTGGCTTGTTGGTTGGGTATTTGTGCACATGCATGCTATGTTGAAGTTTAGAAAAAACTGCTGTCCTTGTGAGACTCTGACTCGTCCTTAATCGCAGAAACAAAAAAGCTGTCAGAGTCAGCGGAGAGGAAGAGAAAGTCAGGTGCTACGATGATATACTGTTAAACTGCAGCACTGTGAAACTGTCAGCAAAGATAACCTGAAGATCTTAAAGCCTTTAGCTCAGGAACATATGGAGGAAGAATGGGAGCAGCTGAAAAATCACTGAAGACAGCAGGAAGAGAGAGCGACTCGGAGCAAAGCACTGTGGGTAAATGCAGACAAAGAGAGGGGGCCATGGCTCGACTTTAGAACGAGGACAGAAAGACTAACTGTTATGGCCGGAGAGGAAAAATCCCACACACACTTTTCTTTCTTATTTCTCACTAGTTTCAGATGTTTTACAGCTAAAAATGTACGACATGTGTACAAGAAGTGACAGAAAGAGAGAGGTGTCGAGCAGTGAGAGACAACAGGGCATCAGGGAAGTTCTAGACAACAACAAAAATAAATAATAGACGTTGTCAGCGAGAAAGTAAGTAGGGTTTGGTTCGGCCGTGATCGTCAGTGCGAGTCAGCGTCTCTCTCTCTGTGTATGAAGAATCTAAATCTGTGCTCCGTTCTCCTCCCCTCATCCTCATCTCACCCTGTCCCTTCATCATCACTGAGAACACTCACAAATCTCACTTCACAGTTCAATTTAAAAACAACAACAAGTTGGAATAAAAAAGGAAAATTATGTTACTAAACAGCAGTTGGTTGTGTTTTTTTTTTTTTTTTTTTTTTTATCTTTGGTACCAAGACAAGAAAACATCTTTTCTCTAGTTTAGAAAAAAAAGAGAACACCTTAAATTAAAATAATGGTGACCACTGAAACACTGCGTCACAATGGACATGGATAACAACATAAACACTTTAAGATAATGGTATTCAACATTCGACTGTTACATTTAAAACACAAGGATATTTTGAATTCTAAAATCTCGTCTCTGGTTTCGTCTTAAGCTACTGGCTGTTTTTGAAACAGCCTCCTACATACTACAAAAGTAAGTATGTACTGCATAATGCGTTCAGCAGTAGTATGTAGTATGACTGCTGGTCGATCTAACGGGCCCTAAGCTGCTTTCTGGTCTTGGAACGTGGTGTAAACAACGCCCAGCGTCCACTCACAGTCTGAAAAAAGATGACTCGTGATTCATTGGATTATTATGATTTTTTTTCTTTGTGTTGTTGGTCTGATTGCGATTATTTCTCCTGTTGCTGTCCGTCATTTGACCTCTAAACTGGAGCGTTGCATTGTGGGAAACAGTACATGAGGGAGACTGGTCAGATTTTTCCTGAATCAGTAGGACATCTGGGTATTTGTTGGTATACTGCAGACAGTGTGCTGCATTTTGGCCAATCGTACGTCCTGCAGAGGACAAGTTTGAAAACAGCCAGCGTCCAGTCTTTGACCTCACTGCTACAGTCGCAGGTCAAAGTTGTGGTCCGAGTCACTGCGGAGGTGAGACGGGAAGTTCAGTCCTCTCTCCTTGGCGTAGCGTGTCCAGCGCTCCTCGTCTCCATAGTGCGTCAGATACCTGCAGCCCATCCTCTGCTCGAAGTCCCTGAGGTCACACCACAGCTGGAAGTCCTGCAGGAGGAAGAGGAGCGGAGAGAGGAAACGTTTAAGAAGACAATTTAACTTCATGTTTTAACAGCAGGACAAAAATTGATCAAATTATTTAGGAATGTTGCAGATGTAGGATTAGAAACATGAAATATTCGAGTTAAAAAGAAGAAGAAATGGGACAGACTGTAAAGACGTTTGTTGCTGTAATGTGTCAGACCTGCAGCCAGGTGTGTTCCAGAGCTTTGCTCACGCTGAACCTCCGTCTGATCGACACCTGCAGCAGGTTGTTGATGAGACTCACAGCTGCAGAGCAAAAGAGAGCTTCATATCAAACTAAAATTATAACGACCTAGACGTTTAAAGTGTCCCTTTAAAAGCAGAGAGTAAGAAAAAGGAGAAAGCATTTTTACCCTCCAGTGAGATGGAGGCCCACGGTTGTCTCGGGTACATGAAGGCGGCGTTGGTGATCTGCTGTCTGATGTCCTCGTCCTCGTTGAAGGGGAACGTCCCGCTCAGGCTCACGTACATGATCACTCCCACCGACCAGATGTCCAGAGAGCGGTTGTAGCCGCAGCTGCTGATCACCTCGGGGGCGAGGTAGGCGGGCGTGCCCACGACAGAGCGCCGGAAAGACTTCTCTCCGATGATGCGGGCAAAGCCGAAGTCGCACAGCTTCACCTTCAACGCAAAGTCGGATTTAAAAAAAAAAAAAAAAGAAAGACAGCTCACGCTAAAACACAAACGTACGAAATAATAAAAATACTCCCACCTGAGGGAGAGGGTCCGCCGACGCCAGCAGGACGTTCTCAGGTTTGAGATCACAGTGAGCGATGTGTTTGACGTGCAGATACCGCAGAGCCTCGAGGATCTACAGCCAACACACACACACAGGGCAGGACACGAGAGGGACACACACACAGGGCAGGACACGAGAGGGACACACACACACAGGGCAGGACACCAGAGGGACACACACACAGGCAGGACACGAGAGGACACACACACACAGGGCAGGACACGAGAGGGACACACACACAGGGCAGGACACCAGAGGGACACACACACAGGGCAGGACACGAGAGGGACACACACACACACAGGGCAGGACACGAGAGGGACACACACACAGGGCAGGACACGAGAGGGACACACACACAGGGCAGGACACGAGAGGGACACACACACACACAGGGCAGGACACCAGAGGGACACACACACAGGGCAGGACACGAGAGGGACACACACACAGGGCAGGACACGAGAGGGACATGTTCAAGTAAAATCTTAATGAAGTTAAATGTGTGCAGGAGATCAGGCTGAAACACGTTTTGATTATCCTACTAATGATTTTCTCATTTTTGAACCTCTTTGGGGCACAACAGGGTCAGCAGGGGCCAAAAGTATTCCATGTAGTGTGCATGCAAGATAAAAATGGTCAAACATTGTAATCGTCAATAAATCATTTCAGGGATTTTCTGGCAGACGTGTCAGAGTTTTGCTGGTTTCAGCCTTTTAAATCTGAGATCTGAAGTTTTTGGGGTTTGAAAGGTTGCTCAGGACGATAGTGGGCTCAGAAGAGTCTGGTCTAAAATGACTTTGGGGGTCCACAAGTGTACATCTAGAGTTTTTCGTCACTGTTCTGGGGAAGAAATCGATAAGTCCAGGGACAAGCAAAAGCAAAATCTGGAGAAAAAAGCTGTTAATGTTTAAAACTAAGAGAGTGAAGAAGATATTTAAAAAAAAATTAATTAACATTTTCCAATAAGATTTTGCCGAGAACAATCAGGGCATTATACATCAGTTAGTTCTGGTGCAGCTGTTGAGGTTGCTAGGCGACAAGGGCGGAAGGGCGCTTTAAGAAACAGGGGTAACCAAACAGGAAATCCTCTGTAGACCAAACTGTTTCGTTTCAGTCCGGCCTGAGCGCTCTACACAGGCTATGTAGGCTGCATCCTCCTTAGCTGCATCCTTCATAGGCTGTATCCTTCATAGGCTGCGTCCTTCAAAGGATGCTACCCCCTGAAGTGAGCCGCAGCTAAAGGCTAGAGAACGGGATGATACCTGTGTGACCAGGAAGCGCGTGATGCGTTCAGGGAGTCGGCCTTTCTCGCTGGACAGAATCATCTCCAGCATGTCTCCGTGGAGCTTCTCCATGACGACGAAGACGTGCTCCACCGTCTCAAACATTCCCTCCAGCAGGACCACACCCAGGTGGGACAGGTTCTGTACACACACACACACACACACACACACACACACACGTTGTTAGAGGATACAGTAAAACAAACACTTTTAATGTAGAAAGAGGTGAAACATGTTCCAGCACCTCCAGGATGCACACTTCGTTCTTCAGCTGTCTCTCTTGTTTGGTGGGGAAACGAGTCTTGTCGATGACTTTGATGGCGACCGGACGGCCAGACTTCCTGTGAGTACCTGGAGAAAAACAAACACTTCAATGTCATTATTATCTATCAGGAGAACCAACAGTGGAAATGGTAAAGCTAGTTAGTCAACATTTATTATAATTATTTATTATAGTAAAACATCTTGATTTATCAGTTCACCTTTGTACACGACTCCAAACTGTCCTGAACCCAGCACCTCGTCTGTGAAGATCTGATACACCGAGCCGATGTCCTGAAACACACACAGAAAACATTTACAGGGAACAACACGGTCAAAGAAGAAGAGGCCCTTCAAGTGATGGAGATCTATTCAGCTGTCTGAAAGTGATTCTTACCACAATGTCTCGGTGAGAATCCTCATCTGTAACCACAACAAGATGAAGACTTCTGGTTATTTCACCATCAACACATTATTATTTGCACAGGACATTTTCAGATTATTGTCAGTAAATTTGGAAATAGTAAGGATTCACTTTCTAAATTTCCCACCGAAAAAAGGAGGAAAAAAAAAGTCATTTAAAAAACTCAATCTCCCAGCTCACCTTGCTCCTCCTCTTGCGCATTGTTTCCCCCGCTGCTCTGCACGGGCATCAGAGCCTGACGGATGGCGCCGGCCCAGGCCGAGCCGCTCTCCCCGGCCTCCACGCAGTACACCAGCAGGTCCGTCACCACCTCGAAGGAGTGGGCGCTGTGGCCCGGCAGCAAGGGGACGGAGAGTTGGGCGGGGCCTCGGACCTGCAGCACTTCGGACAGAGCGATCTCCTGGAATAAAAAAATAAAAATAATCTTATTGTATTTAAATCTTAAACATACTCAGAAGCACGATCAGAAAACATGGGCATTTCTTAAGAGGTTCACAAATGTCCTGCTGTGAGGAGGTCTTGGTTTTTGGCGCCCCCGTGTGGACAAAGAGTGACTCTGATCTCATTTCTGAGTCAAATCACTCGCTCAGAAGCTTTGTTGAGAAAAATGTAAATAACAGCGGTTTCAGGGATTTCTTTTTTTTTTTTTTTTAAACATGCTGAAGTATTGATCGTTCAGACGAGCACACCTTGTAGTACTTGGTGCTGCTCTCGTTCTGGTACAGCGTGATGCTCTTCCAGTCCAGGATCCAGTAATGACGTTTCCTCTGAGAAAACAGAAACGATTCATTCTTCATTCATTCATTATTATTATTTTTTTTTTTGAACAATACAAAGTGAGTGGCGGCTGAGGCTGAGTTGCTCGAGTCTCACCAGTGTGTCAGTGTTGGTGTGGTGCAGCAGCCACCCCTCCCTCAGGACTCCACCCGCTCTCCTCTTAGTGTGATGCACCGACTGCACGAGCCGCATCAGAGGGATGTAGCTGCTGAAGCACGGACTGATGGAGCAACAGGGGACAGAAAAGAGGAATTTGAGGATAAAAACTGAATTAAAGTCACTTTTTCTGTTCTCTGATGGAGCAGCTGTGTTCTTCTAAACGCCTCTAGGGGGCAGTAGAGGCCAAACCTAATTTATCAACGCTAGATTTGTAACGCAGAATGAATTCAGAGATGAGAGCGCTTTTAGGTGACACGCGTCTGACATCATCAGGCACCAGGAAACCACACGGTCACCTCTTAAAAGGGTGACATCATCGGGAATGAATGATCGACCCTCTGACCTCATGGGCTCTCGTGGTTCCTCGTCTTCTTTGTCCTCGGCGGTCGAGTCTCCGTCGGTGCACATGTCGTCGTCGTCGTCAGAGAGCTGTAGTGTGGTCGTGCTGCTGAGCATTGACTCGGTGTCCCCGGGGTCCTCGGGGTCTTTGGGGTCTGCTGGGACGCTGCGACCCGCCGCTGAGGAATGAAACGGACATCATGGGAAAAAGAAACATTAAGTTTGCAGCTAATGGTTGACCCAACATAAAAATCTGGTCAATAAAACGACAAAAAATGAAAAAGTGAGGTCTCCTAGAACCAATCGAAGCTGTAATTGGGCGAGAGGCGGGGTACACCCTGTACTGGTCACCAGCCAATCACAGGGCTGACATATACTGTAGTGACAGACAACCACACACACTCACATTCAATTTAGAGTCACCAATCAACCTAAGGAGAGCATGTGTTTGGACTGTGGGAGGAAGCCGGAGAGAACATGCAAACTCCACACACGGAGATTGGGATTCAAACCAGCAACCTTCTCACCGTGAGGCGAACAGCGCCAACCACTGGACCACCCCGGGAAACAAAGTAACACACACATACACTAAGCGCAAAAAGGGCGACGGCCAAATTTTCAAAGTCAAGACTTCAAAAACAGAAGCCTTGAAAAGTAGGCGGGACATCACAGTTTTTACATCCAGAAACAGCAAACAGGATTTTAAAACCTAAATGATTACATTTTCAGTTATTTCAGATATATATATATATACATATATACTGTATATATATATATATATATGAGGCCTATTTCAGATCATGACTGTGAAATGTAATCTGGTAGAAGTCATTGTGAGCCTCACTGTCTGATCTCATTTCCCTGAATCAGCATCACTAGTATGATCAGAATACGTCTTTGAATCTAAATGAGTCATGACTCCATCAAATGAGATGAATCAGCTTTGACTCAGAAGGTTTTGGGAACATCAGAGGAGGGGGGCGGGGGGGTGCTCTTTTCAAAGAATCATGATCTAAGAGAGCTACAAGTCCAGAATGTCAAATAGAAACCAGATCCTCTGGAGGGCGGGGGACTCTGCTCACCTTCCCCGTTCATGCCTCTCTTCTCTCCCGGGCAGTCTCTGGGGACGTGCGGCTCGCAGCGCCGATGGCAGTTAAACCTGCAATCTGAAACATAAAAAAAAAAGAGAAAGAGATCAGAGAGGGAGAGAGGGAAGGTCGAACCGCAGAGAGAGAGAGAGAGAGAGAGAGAGAGAGAGAAAAAAAAAGATAGTGGTGTGAGGAGAGACCGTGCTGCTGGAACAGGGCGTCTCAAAGTGATCACAGCAGGAGGTTGTGTTTGAATTCATTACATGACTCACCACGAGAAAAGACTGTGAGCTGAGGAATAATGGAGGATGAATGTTTCTCTCCTGGCTGAAGACGTTATTGACCTACAGATGTATTTATGTGTAGATTCTGAGCCGTTATATTCCTCTGTTCACGCTTTGATTAAACTAAACTAAAGTGACCTCATTCTAACAGATATGTATACTTGGAGTCCTTCCTCCTCTCACCTGAACACTGCAGCCCCTGCCTGAAGAGGCCTTTGAGCAGCCGGTGGCAGTGCTGGCACACGGTGGGTTTGGTGTAGCTGTGGATGTGGAAGGTGTGAGGGACCTGAGGCCTGCTCTTCTCTCCGTTACCGATCCCCAGCCACACCGGAGGCTCCGCCCAGGACGGGGGTCTGGAGGAGGGCTTGGACATGCTGATCTGGAGAAAGTCACAGTAAATCATTATTTCGGGGGTTTTTTTGTGCTTGTGACCCTTCACAATAAAAAGCTCCTGCTCACCTCCTCCAGGCTGCCTCCCGCCGGGTTGGACAGCGAGTGTGTGCGGGGTCGTCGGGGGGGGAACAGCGACAGGCTGGTGCTGACCTGGCGACGGGCTCGGCTGCAGTCGTTGGGTAACTGGAAAGCGCAGCGTTTGTGAAAATCTAACCCACAACCTGAGGAGAACGGAGACGAGGAGGAGAGGAGGAGAGGAGGAGAGGAGGAGAGGAGAAAGAGTGCAGGGTTAGTTCTTAAAGAAACGTTTTTTAAATGAGGTTAACTGAAGTTCATGAAGCGACGAGTGAGCGCTTTTACCGTCACATTTTAAACCCTGTCGGACGAGACCCCACAGCATCTCTCCACAGTGGTGACAGAAGGTGGGAGTCCTGTACGAGTAGACCACCAGGGAGTGAGGACGGACCCTCATCTCTGTCACTGAGGCTGATACTAAAACAGGAGGAAACAAAGACAGACGCAGTCCAGTGAGAAGTTGAGTGCTAATGAGAAATGTTGGAGCAGGAACAGCATCAGGAGTTTAGTTCAGTTTTTTTTTTCCTTCCATGCAAAAATACAAAAAGAATAAACTCATAAATACATGTGTGTGTGTGCTGTGCAAACCTGTCAATGTTTTTAAACTCCACTTGTAAAAAGTGCAAAAACTGGCAAAGTTGTGACATGCTTTAAAAACACTCCCCCAGTTAATAAGGTTAAACACATCAGGGAGAACATCTGCAGCCAGATGTGTCCAACTTTAAGTCATTTAACATCCTCTTAAAAGTATCCAATGAGAGCGGCTTGTTAAGTCTCAGCTCTCCTTCTTCTTTCTTTGTTTTTGTCGTTATAACAGAAGAGTGAGTCAGCTCAGCTGCAATACATGTTTAGGGGTGAGGTACATTTTTTTTTATGTAAAAAAAAATTAAAAAAGCATTTCTTGCTTTTTGATTTGAAATATTGGCAACTCTACATGTGGAATAAATCCGCTGACTCTGCTTTTTGTTTCCTCAGATCGGTCTGTATAATAACCTGTGAGAGGGAGAGAAGCCTCAGTGTGCTTCTCAGTGTTCACAGTTCAGTCTGAATACAACATGGCAGATTAAGCTCCATGGTCACATTTAGCACCTTCTTTGTGCCTGTTGGCATTAATCATGAAGAAACACTGTGACATCATAACAAGGTGGACTCAAATAAGGAGCAAAGCCAGGAACATCTAAAAAGTGTTTTATTGTCGCTGTCTGACCTGCGATGACGACCTCGATGAGGTCTCCATCCTGCAGCTGGTCCTCCTGTGTCAGACGCTGCAGCAGCAGCTCCGAGGCCGGCTGATGTCTGAACAGCAGAATCTTTTCACCGACGCCGACCACACTGACATCTGGAGCCTGAAACACACACACACACACATATAAGACAACAACAATTCTGGTGGGCGCCGATAGACTAGCGGTTGCCACGCGCATCCCATCCGTATGTGTGTGTGTGTATGTGTGTGTGATGGTTTGCGCCTCCTACTGCCAAAAGGAAATAACACGTGGTATGCCGCGTGTATTTACATTACCCTCTGTAATGCATATTTCATTTTAGGTTAGGCCGCGTTCCATTTACCTCAGAACTCGGAAGTCGGAAGTTCCGAGTTCCGGTTATGCCGCGTTCCATTTACCTTGGAAGTCGGAAATTCCGAGTTCCAAGTTTATGCCGCGTTCCATTTAAATCGGAAGTCGGAAGTCGGAAATCCCGAGTTCCGATGTTATGCCGCGTTCCAATTACCTCGGAAGTTGGAAATTCCGAGTTCCGATGTTATGCCGCGTTCCAATTACCTCGGAAGTTGGAAATTCCGAGTTCCGATGTTATGCCGCGTTCCATTTAAATCGGAAGTCGGAAGTCGGAAATCCCGAGTTCCGATGTTATGCCGCGTTCCAATTACCTCGGAAGTTGGAAATTCCGAGTTCCGATGTTATGCCGCGTTCCATTTAAATCGGAAGTCGTAAGTCGGAAATCCCGAGTTCCGATGTTATGCCGCGTTCCATTTACCTCGGAAGTCGGAACTGGGAATGACGTCACACCCGTGTTAACTGCGTTCCAGTTGCGGAAAAGCAACATGGACTCTGTTTTGTTAGCTAATACCAGACGATAACGACACACTGACCGAAAAGTAACATGAAAACACCTCCACAGAGAAAATGTGCACGATACCATCGGTGTGATTGATTTAATTACACAAAAAGACGACTTAGCTGCTAATTAACTCAACAGTTACAGCTTAAACATCTCTTTCGATGCAGCCATATTGGATCTGAACTCGAGTTTCTGAGTCGTAATTACGACTTCAGTTCCAGCTGACTCGGCTATTTTTTGTTGTTTAATTGTTGTTTGTCCTATGCTCTAAGTATTGAGTCACATGTGTGTCTGTTTCTGTTTCTGTTATATGTTTAATTTGTATATGCCCTTATGTTACAATAAAAACTTCCGACTGGGAACTCGGAATTTCCCACTTCCGAGATCAACTGGAACGCAGCATCAGTTCATCCTGTACTCCACTAGCTGTGTTGAGCATATCAAGCTGGGATGCGGACAGAAGAGCCTGAGAACTTTCACGATGCTACGCTCTAAGTCGTAACAGTTTCATCGCCATGGTGATGGGAAACATGAAACAGGAAGTAGTTATAACTCTCACATACAACGTTTGATTGGATTCAAATCTCACATGTAGGATCATGAGGTGCTTTTAAAGACATTTACATGCCAATATTTAACTATAGCCACAGCGCCACCTAGTGGAAAGACACAGTAATAACTCCCATATATTTGAAAATGTTCAAACTACTCCAAGTGTTACATGAATGATGACAATCCTTCTCTGGACAAATCAATGTATGATAAGTGGGTAGCGTTTGTACATCATATAGATGTATCAGTGTTGTGTGTGTGTGTGTGTGTGTGTGTGTGTTTGTGTGTGTGCGGTGAATTCACTCAAATACAAAATTGAAACACACAGACACACACACTAAAGTCACATTGTTAACGGCCCGTTGACCTACTGCCTGGAAACTTATGAACGCTTCAAAGTTGTCAAGACAACGTGTGTGTGCTGTGTGTGTGTGTGTGTGTGTGTGTGTGTGTGTGTGTGTGTGCGCGTGTGTGCGTGTGTGTCTCAGTGTCTCAGTGTCTCAGACAGAAGAGGAGGGGAGGCTGTGGTTGGAAAGTTTTTCTGCGCTCTAGTTGACCACACAGTCTCTGAAGCTGAAGCAGAGGTAAGAGCAGATCAGAGACTCTCACACAGTTCATCCATATGTAAACCTCAACTACACATTAAACACACAGTCAACCTGCAGACTGTAAATGTCACCTGACTCTCCTTTTAATGCATCCTTCCTTCCTTCCTCATGTGAATCTTAAAAAAATAAACCTTGAAGTTTGGTAAACGACGGTTAAGAAACAGACTCTTTGATTCACAACATTTTAGACAGTCTGATTCCATCACACAGATTTAAAAACAACGAATGAATACAAAGCGGGTTGAAACGCGGCACCAGAAATCAGATGTCTTGAAAGACATGAGCCAAACCCGCTGAAACTGAATTTGAACTCTGCATCAGTGAGAGATGCAGAAACACACTCAGTGGTTTCTAAAAAAAGCCGCGCGTAAACTACACAGCGCTCCTTCACACACAATGTGACCTTTTCAGAGTCCACTTCCTGACAGCTCTGAGGAGCTCGGAACATTAACTGAACATTTTACCTAAGTGGGACAGTGCAAAGAGGTAGAGAGAGTCTTTTTGGTGCAGCTGCAAAGACAAAGCCTCATCCTCCCTGTTATAGTAGTGTCAGAATCAGATTAGCACAAAGTGTGCAGACGTCGGGTGACAACCACATGCTTTGTTGCATCAGGGCCTGGACAGATCGCTATCATCGACAGAAAAATGAATTGAAGTTTATCAAGACATTTTGCAGGAAAACTTAAGGCCATCTGTCCACCAATCGAAGCCCAACAGAAGATGGGTGATGCAACAGGACAACGACCCAAAGCACAGAAGTAAATCAACAACAGGAGAAAATACGTCTTCTGGAGTGGCCCAGTCAGAGTCCTGACCTCAACCCGATAGAGATGCTGTGGCATGACCTCAAGAGAGAGGTTCAAACCAGACATCCCGAGAATACTGCTGAACTGAAAAAGTTTTGTAAAGAGGAATGGTCCAAAATTCCTCCTGACCGTTGTGCAGGTCTGATCTGCAACTACAGGAAACGTTCGGTTGAGGTTATTGCTGCCAAAGGAGGGTCACCCAGTTATTGAATCCAAGGGTTCACATACTTTTTCCACCCTGCACTGTGAATGTTTACATGTTGTGTTCAATAAAAACATGAAAACATGTAATTGTTTGTGTGGTATTAGTTTAAGCAGACTGTGTTTGTCTATTGTTGAGACTTAGATGAAGATCAGAACACGTTTTATGGCCAATTTATGTAGAAAACTAGGAAATTCCACAGGGTTCACATACCACGTTTTTTTTTGTAAATGCATGATTATGACCACGTGAGAGAAAGATGTGAAAAGGTGCAATCAGCTTGCAATGCACAATGAGTGGCGATGAATCATCAATCACTTGAGGTCAAGAGCAGTGTGACACGTGGCAGCGGCGGTGGCATCCTCAGCGATGCTGGTGCCGCGTGAGTCAGCATTTTATTCTGGTATATTGGTCACACCTGTGTTTAAGACGCATCCAACTTTCAAGGTGAGAGAAAATATGTATTTAAAGTGCGTCTTATACACCGGATTCTTTTTTGTTTTGTTGTCAGAAGACACGACTTCTAAAGGGATAAACTGTCTCACCACAAGGGGGCGTCAACATCGACACAACCCCGGAAAATTCCTCACAGGAGCTTTAAATTCTCCTTTTTGTCCGATTTTTACAATTAATTCCACTAAAGCTTATTAAAGGAAAACTACAGCAAATTCTGTTTTGAATCTTAAGAAGTAAGTAAGTAAGCAAAAGATTTTAAAAATATCCTGATTTTCTTCATCCTTTCTTTGAGTCTTAATAAAATAGCAACGAGAGAGGCCGGAGAGAGTCAGGGATGACAAGCACCACATAGCTTCAGGACTGGGAGACGAACCTGCCAATGAGGCGAGGACTGTAGCCTGCGCATATGAGGCGCTATGATCTACAGATTGTAGCTATGTCCCAGTGTTACCGTAATTAAAAATTGAGAGTGAAATGAAGTGAAATGCCCCTTTAAGCTGCCTCTGTGTGTGAATAATCCTGATCACAGTGTGATTAGGGGGAGCTAATAGCTGGAGGTTTTGATTTACCTTGTGCTCTATGATCTCAGCAGCCAGCCTCTTGGCATGGCGGTAGCTCAGGTTGCCCGCTGGGACTCGAACCACCTCCCTGAACAGGCCGAGCTGGAACTGGACCAGAGCTGGCGCTGAGACACTGGTGGGACTGGAGGGGGCCGCCGCGAACATAGAGACAGATCCTGGGCCAAGGCGGGATTAGAGAGTGGAATATTACGGGGAAACAGCGGCCAGTGACCAACAGGTGATAAGAGTCGACGGTAAAACTAGAGAAAAAACTAGTTTGGTTTGGTGGAGAGAAAGTAAAAACATGATGGACTACAAATATTTTATAGTTTCTAACCTGACGTTTGCAACTACAGAAGCTCTAAGCGTACATGCATTCAAACTTTTAATGACTCCATGTTTGTTTGTTTCTCACTGATGTCATAGATAACACCACCGGTCTCCTCAGGATAACAAGTGAAGGTCTGGAGAGCTCAAATTAACTACAGAAATGAACTCCTCAAGAGGGGAGAAACAGAGTAAAAACATGTCTGGATGCATGTCCTCTTAGGTCCTCCGTAGAAAACATCAAAAACATCAAAAACATATAGAGTGTAATAATCAGGACACAACTAGGCTGCATAAATGAGTCACATCTAAACCTACATCTGAAGATTCTTAACAGGTGCACTCTTACTTTCTAATCCCGGTTCATTCAGCGCTCGATGCTTTCCCCTCGATCGCAGGATCGTCTCGTCGATGTGACAGCTGATCAGCGTTTGTTTGACTGTCTCGCTCGATTCTTTGGTGGGTTTGGTTTCCTTTTTGCATCTACACAGGAAGTTGCAAAGACAAGTCTCCCTTCACAGTGCAGTGTGAACGGGGTTAACACCTCCCGCCCTACAGCAGCTGTGAAAACTCACACACACACACTCACACACACTCATTTTGATTCTGAAACTGTCCACAGCAGCAGAAGAGATGAAGTCATATATAATCGTTTGTGCCGAATATGAAAATGATGGAGAACGCAGGGTCAGGTTGAAAAGTGGATTTTTGTTTTTATTGAGCGTTTGATAAAATACACATTCTGGGTTGGCCCCTTTACAACATGATCCATCAAGTCATCAGCAATAGATGATTACAAATACGAGACCCTCATCCCGGTCGACGTTGACCCCTCATTGAGCTCCATAAATATTTGAACAGAAAGAGAGACGAAAACAACGGGATGTATCCTGAAAAGCTTTGGATCTTCATCTGATCAACATTTCAATCATTTTCATTTTGCTCTCAGCTGTTCCATTTTTTTCTTGTTTACCAAATGTTCAAACATTTATGGAGTTTGTGAAACGCACCACTAAAGAAAAACTCCCCCCCCCCCAGGGTTGATAACGTGTTGATTTAGGATTAAAAGGATTGATTTTAACAGTGTGGTGCGTTCAGGAACAAACAATCAAAATGGGAAAAAAAAAAAAAAGGAGTTTCTACAACTTTTTTTTTTACACATCAATACATAGTGGAGATAGTGAGTGCTGCATGAAGTGACATACAGTACACAGACATATAAAGGTCGGAGAGTTCTGTACATTATTTGCTGCGAACGACACTTAAAGCACTTTTCCTTCCTGCAAACAACTTTCCAAATCTTTTCTTTTTTTTTTTCTAAACACACATACTTTTACTCCTTCGTTCTTCAAACACATTTCTTCTTTAATATCCCAACGCTGCGCCACGTTGCACATTCAGAAGCTGATAGAAGATTCAAGCACTTTTTTTTCCCAACTCAGCTATGTGACCTCGTCAAAAGGGGATTCCAAGAAGGGCGACATGCGGTTAAAAGGCGGCATACGGGCGAAGGTGTGAACGCACCATCGGTGACGGTATGACTGCAGGATAAACCAACGTATCGACATTTTTGAAATCCAACTCAGGCCGACAAGAATTGACTTTTTCTGGCTTTCTTTAAGAGTAAGACGAGAACAACTTACAAAAGAAAGCCGAGAAAAAAAAAACGTATTCTTTGAAGTCACAAATGACCGAGTGTGATTTGAACACACCACGACGCGTACATTCTGCGGACACTTCTCTTGGTATCGATCTCATTTTGGTGAAGTGTAGCTCCTTCATAGCAAACAAAAAAAACAACTAAAGATCCAGTGTAAATGACCCGACGACAGACACACAATTCTACATTTGAATTATCATCTCGCAGTTCTCATTTAAAGTGACAGCGGAAAAAAAAAACAATGTTTACTAATAAGACATTCAGAGGACAATATCAGCAGTCACAATCGTTTGATTACGACTGATGACCTCGGTCAGGTCAGCGTCAACAAACAAAACATGGAGGATCTTTTTTTTTTAAAAACAAGATGAGAAACATTCAGAAACATTAAGAGAAGAAAACAGGAAAAAAAACATCTCAAGAGGAATCATGATGTAGCCGACGCGCTGCATCAGCTTCAAATCAGTGATGAAGGTAGTTTACTGGTATCGTTAGATGACACTGATTGTGTCTGCAGTATCCAGTTTAATGATTGTAAACAGGTCTCATATAAACATCTCGTTCACAGCGTCTCATTAAGATTCAGGCTCATGACTGCCGAAAAGTGTTTGTGGTGAAAGTGGGGAAACAAAAGTCAAGAGTACAGAGTTTGATCTGACTTCATGTTGTAGGGAAGAGGTTGCATTCAGGATGTTTAGAGTGATATGTGAATTTACTTTGAAGGTATCTTCCTGCATCTTTTAGTCTCGGACTCCTAAAGAAGATTTTTGAAAATAGAATATTTGCAGAACGCCTGCTCAGTAGAGGACGCAGTGGACGCTACCTCAGACAGTACCATCAAACTCAAAGTGCGTTCCTAAGCTCTGAGATTGTACTGAGGTACAGAATTGATCAGCATTTTTGACCGTTACAAATTTCCTATCCTTCATTCCCTCTATCCTTTCCTTCTTTTCCAGTCTTTCCCCCTCCTGATAATCGTTTTCTTTTTCATCCGAGGCCTTCATGAACCAGGTCAAGTGTAAACAAAAAGAGAAAACATATGCACTATATACAAAGAATGTCACAGGAAATAATAATAATTTAAAACTGTATATACATAAAAACAAAGAAGGCAAAAAGTGAGGTTTAAATGTTTAGTGCTAACGTCTGCTTGTGTTCTGTTTTTATACTCTAAAGTGGATCGTACCATTTACTTACCAGCTATGATATGGATTCAATATGTTGTTAGCATCAGCTAATACTTCATGCTACAGGTGGAATATACAGAGTGTGATGCCTCTCTCTCTCTCTCTCTCTCTCTCTCTCTCTCTCTCTGAGCTGAAATCGGAGTTTAGCCTACGCAAGTTCTGACAGTGTGAGAGTGGATCTAAGAGACGGACTCGTCACGATGTGTTCAGGTGAGGCGATGAGGCGTTCAGGTGCAGACATTCCACTTTCTAGTAAGCAGCATGCTGATAAATGTGTATCTAAATATTCTCTATTGTGTTGGAGGGAGGCGGTTTGTACAGCGCAGCAGCAGCAGCAGCAGCAGCAGCGCTCGTGTCAACTGGATGATTTTTGATTTTCAGTGTTGCAGGTGACGGTGTTTGATCTCGCTTTGAGCTTTTATGTGTGTTTGTTTGATCAAACCAAGCAGCAAACAGCATCTCCTCGTCTCTCTCCCCCCCCACCCCACCACCAAGTCCCGCCTCCGGTGTCTGTCTAGCCAATCAGGGAGCTGCGTCTGGATAGGTCCACGTTGCTGGCGCTTAATCCCCTGCACTCTGAGAATCCGGAGGTGGCGTCCTAAAGAGCAGACGGCTTATGTTAAACAACGCTTTCCATCACGTGTTGAGGTGGAGAGAGGGTCAGAGCTGAGCGGTCGTACCTGTGTGGTCTCCTCGGTGCTCTTGTTGAGGAAGTTGAGCGAGCTGGCTCTCTTCATTCTGTGAAAAACAAACATCACACTGTAAGCCTTCAATATTACGTTTCTAAATAGAAGAGAAAGAGACTAAACACCACATCTAATGTTTGGAGGAAAATAAAACAGATCTGAACATGTACGTGTGTCACTGCTTGACAAAATACAGCGCCCTCTGCTGGTGAAAGAGAACAGCTAGTGTAATAAAATGAAACTACTGACATGCTGTTTGACTGGTGAATAAATCTAGAGATATCAGCATATCTGAGATAAAAGTAGCCCGTACTGATAGTGACTGGATAAAGTCGATTAATCGGTCAGGCTCTGATGAAAATGGCTCATTTTGAACGTTTAAAATGCTGCAAACTAGAACAAAAGAACGACAAGATCCAACAAGACTACTGTTGAAAAAGTCAATATTATTATTACTACTGTTTTAATAACTTACCTTTTTATTTCAAACAGGGATGCCAAAGATTCAAAGTTTCTAGTTCCTCAAACGTGAACATTAGGGATTGTTTGAACTGAATTTGTTTATTAAGATGAAAATGTAACTAAGTTAAAATGAATAGACAGCAGAAGTGATGTAACACTGTGATGTGTTTCATTGATTATTTTTACCCTGGGTTTCGGGGTTCTTGTGGTCCACTGCCCTGCAGCTTCTTCACCAACATCTCACTGCTCCTCCTCAGGGCGTCACGAATCTTCCCGAAGGAGCCGCTGCGACGCAGAGACCCGTTACCGTCCTGAGGAACGAAAACAACATGAAAGTTAGTCAGACTGGTGTGTTTATTCACACTATCATTAATGTTTCAGTGTGGGTGAACTGACCCCGTTCCACTCTGCAGAGTCGTCTCCCTCGTTCTCCCCCCTCTGTCCCCCCGGCCCGTTGATTCCTTCCCTGCTGTGTCGTCTGTCTGCCCCTCCAGCTCCCCCGTCCTTCAGCAGCTCCACCACCTTACTCTGGTTGATGGCATCAATACCCTGAGAGAGAGAGAGAGAGAGAGAGAGAGAGAGAGAGAGAGAGAGAGAGAGAGAGAGAGAGAGAGAGAGAGAGAGAGAGACAGAGATACAGAGAAAGAGAGAGAGAGAGGAGAGAGAGAGAGACAGAGAGACAGAGAGAGAGAGACAGAGATACAGAGAAAGAAGAGAGAGAGGAGAGAGAGAGACAGAGAAAGAGAGAGAGAGAGAGACAGAGAGAGGAGAGAGGAGAGGAGAGAGAGGAGAGAGAGAGGAGGAGAGAGGGAGAGAGAGAGAGAGAGAGAGAGAGAGAGAGAGAGAGAGACAGAGAGAGAGAGAGAGAAGAGAGAGAGAGAGAGAGAGAGAGAGAGAGCGAGAGAGTGAGAGAGAGAGAGAGAGAGAGAGAGAGAGAGAGATGGAAACACGAAGAGTTAAAGATTACACAGAAGTGATTAAAGGAAATAAAAAGAAACTAAAGCCTACACACACACACACACACACACACACACACACACACACACACACACACACACACCACACACACACACACACACACACACACACCACACACACACACACACACACACACACACACACACACAACACACACACACACACACACACACCACAACACACACACTCCCCAGCAGGGAAGTGACATTGAACTAATGAGGATCCTTTAACTGACTGAAGAGCCAAGACGTCTAATATAACAGCAGTAACTCAGCAGTGTGTGTGTGTGTGTGTGTGTGTGTGTGTGTGTGTGTGTGTGTGTGTGTGTGTGTGTGTGTGTGTGTGTGTGGTACCTGTTTGCGTGTCTTGCTGGCACACTCCTCCAGTGTCTCTGCAGCCTCCAGTTTGCCCTGACGACGGTACAAAGCTCCCAGACTCTTCAGGGTGGTGTTCACTGTGGGGCTGAGGCACAAAACAACAACAACAAGACACTAATATGAATGTTAGTATTTGTTTACGTTTCACATTTCTGTTGAGCTGATAAAACACATTGAATAAATGATTAACTAAGGTTAAACTAACACAGCAGGTTTTAAGAATCTTCATTCTGGTTATATGCAGCGTGTGTTTACACTGAATCAGCTACGTGTGTGTCTCACCTGTCCACCTTACAGGCCTTATACCAGCTGCCATACTCCACATACGGACCAGAGTCTTTGCGGTTCCCCTGAGAGAGAGAGAGAGAGAGAGAGAGACATGAAATATTAAAGCAGAGATCCACCATGAGCCTCTTAAACAGCCCGTTGACAAAAATGTCCCTGATGTCATTTGTTCAGTCGTCTCCATCACTTTTCACGACACCGCACGTAGCTGCATGTCATTCCTGGTAAAAGGTCAAACTAAAAAGGACTGACCTTGCTCTCCTCTCGCTCCTCGGCGTGCATCCAGATCGGTTTGTTGTCGTCTGCAAAGATGAGGACAACACAAGTGTTACAAGTGACGACGGCAAAGGCTGAACGTTGCAGAGGAAAAAGAACACAAACTGGATTAGAGGATCCCTCGTCTGACCTACATTGACGTAAGAACAAGAGATTTATTTATTTATTTATTTTTTAAACCACCCTGTTGGTTTCATCAAATTGTTCGGGGGCCAGATTGCGGGCCGCTTGCGTTCGCCTCGTGCTGAACATGTGACACATTAAGGGTTTGACGGGCTTAGCTGCAGCGGGGCAGGGGAACGTGGACATTAAGCCGCTCCTCACGCTCCCATAGCATGACGATAATCCTCTGACCCGCTGAGGGATCCTGGGCGTGGACCGATGACCAACCTGGATCCTAAAAACACTGCAAATGTCAGACGAACGAGAAACTGCTGCCGTCTTAGAAACTGAAGAAAAAGACACACCAGACTTCACCTAAAAACAAGATATCTGATGAAGAGCTGACTGTTATTCAATATGACGCCGCTGCTTTCATTTATGAGGCGTTTCAATAATTCCACAAATATACACACAGAGCTGGGAAATGATGGCACTTTGAAACACTTTAACATCCACTTCTTAACAACATAAATGTGCATTATGTAAGCTGCATGTGTCGTAACTGACTGTACGCTCCACTCACTGTTAACAGATCCAAACTCCTTCTCGTGCGCTCGGGTCAGGATCTCTTTGTACAGAGCTTCGGCGTCTTTAAACTTCCCCTGCTTCAGGTAGCATGTGGCCTGAGGAGAACACAGCAGCATTTTATTGTACACATCTTGTATGAACCCAAAAAATACTCTGACAGAAATGGACGCGACCTCATGGCGAACCCACCTTAAACCTACATGTCTAATAATGGCCAGCAGGGGGCGACTTCACTGTGGCTAAAATACTTCTGACTGTTTAAAAGCAGATGAGAAAATCACCGTTCCCCTCCCTGATCTTTTACCTTCATAACATTTAAAAAAATTAAATGTTTGATGTTCTTATGTGATACTTTTAAAGCTGAAGACAAAAGAAACACTGAGATTAAAATATATTAAAGTGGCATGTCGTCATGACGCAGTGAATTGTGTAAAGAAATTAGCTAAATCTTCTTAATACAGAATATTAATTTAGTAAATTATGATATTGTTCAAAGCAAAATGAACGTTAAAGATAGGTATGCTTTGATTGACAAGTCGCACATCTACCATAACTGAGTCTTCAAACCCAGTGGGTGACATCAAGGGAGCTTGGTGAATCCTTGTAAACGCTCTATGGTCTAAAGTGAGTAAAATCATCGCTTATAAAAAAAGATGATCCATGAAACTTGTAACAGGCGAACCCACCAGGTTGTTTTTGGTCTTGGCCACGTTGGGGTCGTCGGCTCCCAGTTTGGACTCGTAGATCTCCAGGGCCCGCCTGTAGTAGTACTCCACCTCGTCGTACTTGCCCTGGTTCTGACACAGCAGGGCCAGGTTGTTCAGCTGCTTGGCCACGTCCGGGTGGTACTTGCCCAACACCTTGGAGACACGATTGACACGATTAACATCCACAAATGTGAACAGAGAGCGTTTCAGTTTCGAGAGAGAAGACGTTCTCTACCTTCTCTCTGATCTCCAGCGCTCTCTTGCACAGAGGTTCCGCCTCCTTGTATTTGCCCCTCTTGCCGTACAGAACGGCCAGGTTGTTGAGGGTGGCGGCCACGGCTGGGTGATCCTTCCCCAGAGTCTTCTCTCTGATGGCCAGAGCGTCGTTCAGGAGGTGAGCGGCTTCTTTGTACTTGTTCTGATCCCTGGAGGGTAAAAACAGCACACTTTCTTTTAGATTCAAACTTTAAATGAAACGTCTTTCTCCCCCGCTCACCCCCCCCTCCCCCACCCTACCTGTACACGAGGGCCAGGATGTTGAGCATGGTGGCCACGTCGGGGTGGTCGTGTCCGGACGTCTTCTCCAGGTCCTCCAGGGCCTGTTTGCAGAGCGGCACGGCCACCTCGTACCTGCCCTGAGAGGCGTACTGGATCACCAGGTTGTGCAGAGTCCGGAGGCGTGCCGGGATCTCGTAGCCCCCCTGCTGGGCGGCCACCTCTCCGCTGGGCTGCGCTGTGGGACAGAGGGAGGATATTAAACTTCTTACTACTGTGATGTAAATATCAGTCAGTAAGCATGAACACGTCTGAACGGGTGGATTGCTGATGTCATACCCGGTCCCTGATCGTCGTCGTTGGGGAACAAGTCGTCCAGGCTGTCCTTCGAAGCGTCTCCCCCACTCCCGCCGCCGCCTCCTCCGCCGGCGCTCTGGCTCTTGTCGTCGGAGGGCGAGACGTCGTCGTCGAACTTCTTGATCTGGTTCATGAACTCCAGGTGCTTCTTCTCCTCCTCCAGCTGGGCCACGCTCTGCTCGCTGCGCTGCAGCTTGTGCTGCGTGCCCGCCAGCTCGTCCCGCAGCCACTGGTTCTCCTGGCAGAGCCGACGCACCTGGGCGCGCAGCTTCTGCTTCTCCGACTCCACGGCGCTCAGGTGGCTCGACAGGGCGATGATCACCTGGAAGGAAGAGGGACGCGAGCTTGCTAAATTTGACCTTCAGAACTTTGAAATAATCGACTAAACTTTTCATTTTTGTGTGAAGAAAATAACAGGATTGTTATTTAGCCGGTCTCTGACCTGTGCCTCTCCCAGGCCCAGCTCGATGGCCTCCAGACTCTTGCGGAGCAGCCCAGACTTCTCCTGGGCGACGGGCGGCTGCGTGCAGTCCAGCAGCGAGTTGAGGATCTGGGCGTGTTCGCCGCGCAGCGTCTCCAGGCCCTGCATGACGGCCTTCGTGTTGAGCACGATCTCATCCTGGCTCAGTCGCTCGAGGGCTTCTTCGCGTGGATACACCATGGTGGACATTTCCCGGTTTCACACACACTACAGGACGAGGACAAAAGAAACAAGAACGTGTAAGGGCAAAAAAAAGAAGAGTGAAAGCACTTTCTGCTGAGCGTGCATCATATTTGACCTTCTCACAGTTTAACCATGAGCTGCTCAAAGTGCATCATTATTGGTTGGTCACTGTGGTCAAGCTGAAGTGGATGAGATTAAAAAAAGAAAAGGGAGGCAGAGGAGCCCTGAAGAGAAGGAAATGAGATACAATCAAGAAGAGGGAGGGCGTAAAGCGATACTTTGATGGAGGAAGGTCAAAAGAAGGGAAACGCTGAATTTTATTCCCAGTTTACATGACGGGAAAATGTGATTATCCAATGAAAAATGTCCAGGATGTCCCCTAAACAACAGCACATTTACAAAATGCTTTCACATTAAAATTCAATAAACATGACGATATGAGAGACGGGTCTCTAGTGCACCCTGATCTGATCTCCCTCACATCTCTCTATTCTACTTTAGTCAGCAGTTGATTTAACAGATCCACTTTCATTAGTGCATAACAGCTCAGGTAGTAAGACTGGTTTGAAAGTGAAAGGTGTGTGTGTGTGTGTGTGTGTGTGTGTGTGTGTGTGTGTGTGTGTGTGTGTGTGTGTGTGTGTGTGTGTGTGTGTGTGTGTGTGTGTGTGTGTGTGTGTGTGTGTGAGGATTCCTCCGAGCTCGAAAGTGACGCAGCTGCAGCCAGCGATGAGTTCATCCAGTTAAAGTGAGACAGAGCGGCCGTTTCCAAGGAAACACTGACTCAGAGATCAGGTGGCAAAAAAAAAAAAAACAAAAAATCAAACATGAGATTAAGATCTTCATCCGACTCTCACTGATGAACCTGTTGCATGTTTGTTGTCTTTGTGCTTGTTAGCCACTTAAAAAAGACTGGAACTAAAGCCGCTGAGAGCACAACAGAGTACAAGTCCTCACACGTTTTCAGGGGTTTATTTAAAAAACAAACAAAATAATCCCTTATAAAAGCCACACACACACACACACACACACACACACACAAAAGGTAACAGCAACATTGGACAAGAGAAAATGTCCCTTTGTCTATCTCCCACTTCACACCTGAACAGGTAAACACACAGAGCAACCATGGCCAAGTGGAAATGACCGGACATGATATCAAAGGATTGAAACATTACAAAAATGATCTGAACACATGTTTCATCGTTTGTTCTTTATGTAGGGCCGGACATCGAGCTGTATGTCCACATAAAAGCTGCAGATCAATATAGAATAGAATAGAATAGAATAGAATAGAATATAGAATGACTTTATTGATCCCAAACTGGGACATTGTGGCGTTCCAGCAGCAGGTTATCCAAACACACAATATGAGTAAAAAAACACAATGTTAGCAAATTTAAACATAATATAATATTAAATACAAAGTAAATAAGCACTAAAAATATCAAAACTAAGAATGTGAATATTTACAACCAGGATTTAACTAAGCATTACTAGTCTTAAATATGAAAGATTAAAAAAGTGAATGTGTAAAAACAGAGTTGTAAATGGACAGTATTGACAGAAGTGAAAGTGCATGTCTCCTCTCATCTCCCACAAAGAGACACCAGGCCTCTTGAAGCCACTTTCCACACTGAGCATGCGTCCTTCAGGTCTACAGATCCTGTAAATGAAACCATTGCAGCAGCAGCAGGAGGAGGAGGAGGAGGAGGAGGAGGAGGAGGAGGACAGAGCGGCCATTTGTGCAGCATCGTGACTTTCTCTCCTCTCCTGCTTTCATGGAGGAGGCGCACCTGTTCTCCCTCCTGCCCCCTCCCTCCTCTCTCTATATGTGTCTGTCTCCAGCTCCCCCCCCCTCCTTCCCCATCCGCCTTATACGCCGACTGCAATGCACCAATATCAACAACAACCCCCCCTTTCCAAAAACGCACAACAACAACAACAAAAGCAGCAGCAGCGGTGAAACATCAGAAAGTAGCACCTACTAAATGTCATCTTTGGTTAGTTTAATTGCACGAATAGATTAATGCGCCGGTGGATGGATGGAGGTGATGAGGCCCTGAGGCCGGGAGGGGCGGAAGGATCAATCAAGGTGACCCGATAATAAAGAGAGAAAAAGCACAAGAAGCTTTCAGACATTGTTTTGTTTTAATAATGATAATCCGACATGTTGAGTGTTTGTAAACAGAGCAGGCCCTACACTAATGTTTCCCCCCTTATGTAATGTGACTGTACTGCATGCACCACAAGCACAGGCACTTAAACGACTTTTTAATGACATTTATAAAGTGAAATCTGTGGCGCATGCGTCCTGCAGATGACATTTTACCGACCGCGCCGATGATGTAATGTTTAATATGACAAAAGGTGGAAATATATCTATTTGAGCGTCATTACTGCGACTACAGTAAAAGTGATATGAAATATCAGCTGCGTTTTTACCTTCATCGAAGAGAAACGCGATGCTTTCTGTCCGGACAAAGCAGCAGGGACAATGTTGTGATGCTCCCAAACAAGCCCAGCGTCTAATCTTAAACAACGCCGCATCGACTGCTTCCGGTTGCGGGTTTTTTTTTTTTTTTTTTCTTTCAAAATAAAACCAAAGCGAAGTAGGTCGACAGTCAAAACACCACAATGACAGGCTGTTATGGTGGAGGAAGGCTGCGCTAGTCAACAGTAATAGGTCACTTTCATAACCAAGGCGTAATTTACCACGCAGGTTAATGCTAATGCGTGTTATTCGTAACGATTCGCTTTACTTTGAAGGATGCTAACGTCTCCATAACAACTCGCCCTCAAAGTGTCTCTTGGCAACGGAGGAGGACAGTAATAAAAACTCTTTATCCTTGTTTTGTCACTAACTCACTGACCATTCTTACAAAAACCTAGTTTATTCAGCTGAACAACACTAGTTATTTATTCAAGGATGTGATTAAAATGTGACATTAAAATCCACAACCAAAGATGACGTCAAACAACAAGAGGTTTCTCGACTAGTTTTCGACTGGGGCGGGAAATCATCTTGCGCATGCGTATAGACGACGCGCTGCTCACTCACTGCCTCTAGCATTCTCGACTTTCTGGTTTGACTAGTTTTTCTAAAAGAGTTTTAATTGACACTGTGGGAATCACCTGTGTATACAACGTGATAAACCGACTACACTGGATAATTTGCTTTTTTTTGTGCCGGTGTTGCAATCATTAAAAAGCTTTGACAAGATGCTAATAAATAATAATTATTGTTTTTTTTGTTTTTTTTTTAAAGAGTTCAGGTCTTTTTTCTTAAGAAAGAACACGAGGTGAAACTGACTCTTAATAAACAGAAGTAAAATAATTACGATAAATAATTGAAGCCTAGTTATACACATTTTAAAACGTTTTTCACGGAACAGGAAGTAGCAGGCGGTGAAGCCTCTTGCTGTGCATATGTTCTTTGAGTACTCATGATAGCAGAGGCTCCATTCAAACAGTGTGTGAGTGTAACAAGGGGGGTAATGAGGCCAAGGCATGTAACACTGACCTGCTTCACAAGTATCATGTGCACATTCCACTTACACTTTTGTTACATAGTGAGTAGGTTTTCTTATTTTCAGGGTTTATTATAGATTAAAAGCTATTTTATTTATAAGTGCTCATGCTTATCAGTTGCAAATTTACAATGAAATGAACATAAATTCATGCTGTAACTGCAATTGGAAAATGTATGTGTTTTATCTTACATAATAGCTTATTTAAACTGCAATATGCCGTTTACATTTTTATATATCTTTCTGCAGCTTCATTCGTTTTACCTTTGTTTGCATACAGCTACACTTTGGAGTTATATATAAATGCTTCATACAAGCGCAAACAAACACATACAAAAGACATATATTCTTTGATTCAAAAATAAGAGACGAATATACAAATCAGGAATATGTTTATTTAAAAAAACAAATGAAACAATAAACACTTCCACTTTCCACCCCACATCTGTTTTCATTGACAAACGCAATCATGAAAAAGCAGTACTACAAAACATGTTGAAATAAAGAAAAAGAAAAAAAATGGAATACAATATAACAAGTACTATCTGATATGTACAAGCGTTATAGTTTATTATTATTATTATTATCGTTATAGGCAAAAGGCAAAAAAGCTGAAGTCTGCTGCTGAAGAAAACAATGGCGTGTGCAAAATACTGTCAACAAGCTGAGGACGTCCTGATCTGAGCCAGGCGGAAAATCTACTGCTTTCATAGGTCAATCCTGTTCCCGTAAAGACAGACAGCAAAATGTACAAGCTGTGAGGGAATGGGGACAGTATTGTTTATTGTGTTTTCAGAAAGCTAAGCTCGTGGAAGCCCGATGACGAAGAGTTTCATCATCAGAGAGACACTTTATCCGAGGACGGTGTCGAGAAAAGAGACTGCTGATCACTGATGTGGATTATTGACGGACCAAACAGATACTATTCTCTAACCACGACAAGTCAAAGGACAGAGGAACCACCGCCACAAACACATGTCGACACAGGTACAGAGGTACAGGTAAAAACACACAGGAACAAGGTTCAAGACTTAACGCACGGAACAACCAGAGACTTTAGAAAAAACATGTAAACAGTGAGAATGAGCAGAGAGACGGATGGGATTAAAAAAAGGGTTCACTTCCTCCAAACATTGAAACGATGACGTAAGAAAAAGGATCACTTTGTTGTTATGAACAACCAAAAAAAAACAACTCAAAGTCTCGTTCGATATATTCACGACTTCTTCACAATGTAATTTTGGCAGTGATTTTTCTTTTAACGCCTCTTTTTTCTGTAGAATAAATCGATGTTCAGGGAGACTCAGCTGATGTTCAATCCCCTCCAAGAAAAAGAGTCGTCAATCAATTTTGACTTTGTACAATTACTGACAAGTTTGGATTCACAGCAATGCTTCAATATTTAAGCTAACGACACTACAAGGCAAAGAGCATTTTGTGTTAATGAGGTTGTTTCTAAACAACAGACACAAGATTACCCATGGTTACAGTGTAAGTTAAATATCAAATACCGGTACTTCATTCTAAAACGATTTTCATGGTTTAAAATCCAGTTTTTCAAATGTGACAAGTTTGGCGTTGTTGTCGTTATAAAGCGTACTTTAATGAAACATTTCTTAATTTGAATTAAAAGTTTGAGATATAAAGATACCAAACTAATAAAAGAAGTTATTACAGTGCACAAAGTAAATTATGTTTTGGGTTGCCACTTCATTTTTGTGAAGAATCCCTTTCATTGTTTATTTACATTATACCTTGTAAAAATAAAAAAATAAAAAAAATGTTTCCGGCCTTGGGGCAGCAATTAACATGAATAACTTATTGTCCAATTTCAAAGTTATAACAAGTTAGGGATCAAGGAAAGACATTACTAGTTTCAGAATAACATAATCATTAACTTAAAGTTGGATACCTGATGTACAATATTAACTCTCTTTTAGCTCCATGTTTGGTCTCCACCAACTCTAAATAATACGGCGCCTTGTGGTTGCTAATGCACCACTATTTCCCCTCGTTAGTCATTAAGTTGGAAGTTTTGGTGCAAAAGGTAGTGTGAAGAAAGTTTCAGAGCTTCTTTTGATAGAAATGTTTTGACATCAGAAAACAGCTAAGCTAAGCTGAGCTGTAATTGTCACTCAAAACAAGTAATGTTGCCGCCCTGATACCAAAACAATGAGCTTAAAGACACAAAAAGATGAAACCGAAAGAGTTTGGTGTCTGATCTGGGTTTGTTTTCTATTTTCATGATAATATTGAAAGTGCTGCAATAAAAAAAAAAAACAAGCAAGGGATATATTGTAAGCAAACCAAAGGGACACTTTGCTGAATTTGGCCTCCCAACCTGGCAACCCAAAAGTTAATTCCATTCATGTGCAAAAGCAGAACTTCATTGAATTCTTTAGTGATTTTTTTCGAGTTTTAAGGAAGTGAAAAGTCACAAATTGGCAATTTTTGAAGTGATGTAAAAAAAATTGTTGGTTTGTTGTTCGAAACAGAAATTTAGTTTACTTTTATTTATTTTATTTTTTCCCCCCGGATGTCCTACATTTTGGATTAATGTGGTCACATGAAAGCTCACTGATGATGTTGTCAGTCAGTCAGTCTGTCTGTGAAGCCCTTAACTGGTTTTCAGCAACACGTGAAAAGGACTACAGGTTTAGAGAAGGGTGCGTTCAAGAGACCCACTGGTTGTTTTATCTTGTTTGACACATAAAAAAAACACCGTCCTGTCAGTCATCTGTTCCTGCACTGGACGTGTTGGAACGTTTCTAACATCTGCACTAAAGTGTAAACTTAATGAAATACATTCAAATGTGAAAGTACTGAGAAGCCTTCAGCACCAAGCCGAGTGTTTGTCTGGTGACGACAGTTAAACCAATCAAAGAGAGAAACAAACCAGCGAGCTCTGAAAGCCCTCCGCCGTCGTCCAGCAGAGAAATGAGGCGAGTTTAAGACGCGCTGCTGACATCACAACTATAACACTGAAATATCCAAATGCTTCAAATCGATTTCTAAACAAACAAAAACACGACTTAAACAAAGACAACGGCATAAACACTATTTGAAGAAACTACTTTGCTAATACTTCGCTGCAGTTGGAGAGTTTTTATGATGCAGCTGACACAAGGCAGAGATGAACAGACTTCTTTAAATCTTAAAAACAAAATTAATCAGACTGAATTTTAGCAACAGATGTAAAAGATGTATTCAAGTAGTCACTTTAAAGATAAATTCAGTTTAAACTTGGATTTGGAGCTTTTCTTCTGACTAAAATTCTGAGTTTATTCCAGGAATTGTTCTTAGTTAAAAGTTAAAAGTTTTTGATAAATGCTTCCCTTATCCTCTCCTGTATTTTTCCATATTTGCACAGATCAATCAATCAGATGATTTCATTAAAATGTAGTTGAGGATTTTCTATGTTATATACGGAGGATGATTAGGGAACGATTCTGAGATAAAAGCCACAAGTCTGAGTTTAAACTTTAATTTTCTATTCTTTATTATTTTTTAAATTAAATTCTTAATTTTTTTCTAATCATGACTCCAAACTAATTTTTTTTCACCTGTGGCTCTAATCCTATTTTTTTCATGAAAGATTTCAGTTTTCTTTTAGGGCAGATGATTTTAAAGCCAGAATTCCAACTTTTAACTGGAATTAAAAATATTTCCTAATTCTGATTGTATTTGTGATTTCTCACACAAAACTTTGACAAAACATTTGCTTAAAACACAAAACTTTTTATTTGCTTCCTTAATTGTCTTCTGGATTTGTTGGTTGGATTTAGGCCAATACAACCTGATACAACCTGAAGATATTTCACAAAAATGTTATTCAATATTAAAAAAAAATTCTACGGGGGTTGAAAACAGGCAGATTTAAAAACATGTATGAACGTTTGGAGTTTAAAAAAAAAAAAGCCTGAATTCTGAGTGTAAAATTAAATATATGATGTTTGTTTTGTTCTGACTTTAATTCTGTGTTTATGTTCAAAATCATGACTTTAAACTCAATTCTAAAAAATTTTTTCCCATGTGGCACTACTTGTCTTCCATATCACTCGACATTTTTAATGAAGGAAAAACATTCTGCCTTTGCCTTGAGCCAGGCTCCAACATGAACAAGTCTCCTCCTGCAGATTTCACAGCCCTAATCTGATTATCAATGACATTGATAATGACCACATCATGAACACACACACACACACACACACACACACACACACACACACACACACACACACGTCCCCTCTGTCACATGGTAGAAAAAAGTTTTTGTCTTTTTTTTTAGTGATATTGTTTTTGTATAAAGTTTGACCACGTTACACTGATTTCACCACACACACACACACGTGTTACCAGATACTGTTCACACACTAATCACCTCACAACATACTAGAGAAAGCATGTAGCAGACCTGTGCACAAATAACTCAAATCAAAACACAAACATTTCTTTCTGTTCCCTGGATGGATATGTTTCATTTCTGCGCAGGTCTGCGGTCAGAATATTGCCAAAAAAAGAAAAAGATATTGGAGAGTTAACGAGCTAACCACATTGTGCTTATTGCAGCTGTTTGACTGCCGTGTTCGCAACGTAGAACCCTTTGAAAAAAGCAGGATATAAACATGCTTTTCCCATTTCTGCTTAAATATGCATTCTGTCGTCTTGTTGCACATTTTTCTTTGCTCTGTTTTTGAATGTGTATTTTACCGGCTGTTCTCTCTGCAGACGCTCACATGTGTGTTCATCAGGTGCATAGCGACTACGTAGCTAAAGAAAACCGCACGTCACAGTCGACCCCGCCCTGAAATCCTGAAGCTCTCACAAAGACGAACACTGTGCATCGCAAAAACACCTTTAAAGGTTTTTCTTTTGTTAGGTTTTTTTTTAAACTATTTTCCACTGGAGAACAATAAAGAAAGACACTTCCCATGTACAGATATTGTTTTTTTCTCTTCTCTGTGAAAGAATACAGTTGGCATTAGACATCCAAAATGACTGATTTTGGTACAGACAAAATATGTGTAATCATATAGAAGCCCTTGAAATGAAATACACTAAAGCCTTTTATTTTGAAGGGCGTCTGTGCTGCTGATGTGGAGGTGGGATTCATCACATGCTTTGTGTTTTCTTTTCATGCATTACTTGAAGCCCTGCTGCATTTCTGTTTTTTTTTTTATTTAGAGTTACGAGTTCGTTTCGGAGCATGCACATGTGTGGGGGATCAGGTTTGTCGAGGTGAGCAGTGGGGACCTTGACGGGGACAGGGGCGGGACGGGGGCGGGACGGGGGCGGGACGGGGGCGGGGGTCTTGCGTTGAGGGTTGGACTTTTAACGGGGGTTAAAATCAGTGGGTTGTTTCATGCTGTTGCATTCCATAAAACGGAAACATAAATGGCAGTTAGCGATTAAACTTGTGCTGTAAGCCCCTTGTAAAAACACACACACACACACACACACCACACACACACACACACACACACACACACACACACACACACACACACACACACACACACACACACACACACACTGTACATTCACGTGTGCACGCACTCGCCACGCACACACAAAAAGGGGGCGTTAAAGTGACTAGTAACAGCGCTCCTCTTCCTCCTCCTCCCCAAAAAAGACACAAGATGACTGTAGCCAAACTGAAACTAAAGGAAGAAAGAAGTCAGTCCGCTCAGCTCTGTGGCTGCTGACGCTCGGGGGTCTTCACCCCTAGGAGGGCGGCTTGCTGTAGCCGAAAAGTCCGACAGGTAGGTATTTGACGTGTGTGGGCCACTGGGCGGCGAGCTGGAAGAACTTCACGTCGTTCCACTCCACGCCGTCTATGGACACTGCAGAGAAACGAACGAGACTTGCATGAGACCCGAGCGAGCGTTTGGATTTAAAAACGAGAGCCGGAGAAGAAAAAAGCCGCAGGTTTTACCTTTCAGGATGGTCTGTTGCTGCTTGGCCGAGCAGATGAGGCGACTGATGCCTTCAATGACCTGACTCTTGGAGTCCACGTCCTTCTCCTTGGGCTTCTTTCCCAGGAAGATGGTGGGGACTGAGGAGAGAGAGAGAGAGAGAGAGAGAGAGAGAGAGAGAGAGAGAGAGCGATTGTTAGGCACAGTGTGTTTGTGTTTGCAACACAGGAAACACACACAGCTCTATGAAGGACAAAAAATGACTGAAGTATAATAAATGAATAAATAAATGAATAAAAAAATAAATAAAAAAATAAATGAATGAATAAAAAAATAAAAAAATAAATAAATGAATGAATGAATGTTGGGAGAAATGCATACAATAATGTATAAATAAATAAAAAATTAAATAAATGCATCAATAAATAAATATATATATAAAAAAATGCAACAATTCATATAAAAATGAATATACAAATAAATATATTCATATATTTATTTCTGTTTTCATGTTGTACAAGGAAAAGTAAATATGTAAATTAAGTAAATTAAAATAAGAAACAAGTGGAAAACTTGATTTTTAAGTATTCATGAAAACACAATGACTCAGTCAAACAGACATGCATCATCATCATCATCTTCTCACCTTTCTTATTCTTCTCCTTCGTGACCACCGTCATGGCCATGGTGCTGACCTGGGCCTGCGGGTCGCTACTGCCCCCTCCTGGTAGCCGGCTGACCTGCAGCGAGCGGAAGGCGCTCTTCAGCGTGTTCTTGCAGCTCGTGTCGCGCCGCTCGCCCTCCCGCCGCTTCTCCGCCAGCGAGGCGAGCCAGTAATCCACCTGCAGGCCGATGGCGTCCACGCCGTGAGACATGCTCGGGCTCCTGAGGACGGAGACACTTTGGATTTATTATAAAACAACGACATGGAAAAAAAAACATCGCTGTGTAGTGCAGAAACAACATGTCCAACGCTGGTTTTAAACACTATGGTTTTATCGGAGGTGTTGCTGCACTCGGAGCCTTTTTGTCAAACCTAGTTCTCAAAAACAAAGATGTAACTGTTACATTTGGTACGTGATGTTAACAATTGCACCATCTGTTCTCTGCAGAGAGAGAAATAGAATGATTTGATCGGGCACAGCTGCAGGCCGCCCGGCTCTGCAGAGAGGAAATGCAACGTTCAGGTTAAAAGTTCACCAAATCAAATCATTAAAAACACGACTGAAACATGTTCACTTCCTGGAACTAATTCACAAACCAGTCAAACTGAGACCTGCGGATGAAGATATTCAGGACAGTTATGAAAGTAAAAGCAACATTTTGGAACTCTTTATTGAGAGTTAAGAAGGAGGATGTAGAAGGTGGTATGTTGCTTTGTTCTATCTTTGGGAGAAAAAATACAAAAAACATGAAACAAAAAAAAAGAGAGGAAGAGGAGAATGAATAATAACAAAAAAAACAAGAATAGATTTACATAAACTCCAGGTCAAACTTGCAGCAGTATGAATGACCGTATTAATGTCTTTATATGTGATTTTTCACACTTAAATATAATATAAATCAAGTATATCCTCTGAAAATAACTCTGTGAGTCATGACTGTCTACAATGGGTGTAACACCCGAGTCCCACTGTCTGTGATGCTTTCAGAGTTTTCAGAGTCCTATCTTCAGTTTGTTTACATCGCCAGGACGGCCGGCTGACTCCTCCCCTCGTGTATAAAAGTTGTTTAATTGAGGGACTAAAGAAAAGAAGAATAACATACTGTACTCACTGCTTAACTGTGTTTCTAGATCACGCTCATTTCAGGTAAATTTACATGCAGTGTGAAGATACCAGCATAATAAAGATCGCTAGCATTAGCATTAGCAAAAATCGCATACAAAGCCTTTAACATATTTTCTAGTTTTGTTCGAGCTGCAAATTTGAGGCAGGAGTATCGCAAAAAAATACAACAACTTTAAACCCACATGTTGTCCTCCAACATCAAGGTTCTGCTGACTCAGGGAGATATAAATAGTTTACATCCTTAAAACAAACGACTCTGGCTTTACTTTTTAGTAAATGATTTCCTCGTTCTTTTCAGAACATGAAAGACACTTGAGAAGAGTTCTTTTTCTCCCTCCACAGAGAAAGAGGGAGAGAGAGTGAGGGAGATAAATAATGCAGCGTGAAGTGTCAGGACTCAGACTCACCCTTGCACTGAGAGGACACTGCCCATGGAGGGGGAGGACGGGGGCGTGGCCGCCTCTTTAATTATCCCCGTGGGCGAGCCGTGGGACGGGGGAGACGTGGAGGGGACGGCCAAGCTCACCGCCACGCCCTCGTCAGTGTCTCCTTGATCGACAAACAAAAAATCAAATAAGCATCACAACACGATCCAAATCTAAAAAGAAACAATCTGATTCTGATTCTATTTACAAACTCTCACCTGTTGGAGACTGACCAGACTCGATGAGACCGACCTTAACCACCTGCAACAACAACAACAACAACAACAACAACGTGTGACATCAGCAATATTTCTAAATCATCTGCATTTCTACATTCTTCAGGAAGTCAAATCTTACCCCAATGAAAGGAATGAACTTCTGGTACGAGTCCTCATCTCGCCTGTGGAAGAGGGAGACAGAACGTTTTTAAAAACAGTTTTTTTTTTGTTTTTTTTTTAAGAGGTTTGTGTTTTGTTTGGCGTCTGCACTCACGTCCTGTGTTTGCACGTGAGCATGGCCTCAGCGATGGGAAGCTGGTGTGTGACGGTGGCTCCGCTGATGTACTGCGCGATTCTCCCCGCGACGTCCAGCTGATCTGGAGGAGACAGACAGATGGCTTCAGTGTCAAATGTGTGTGTGTGTGTGTGTGTGTGTGTGTGTGTGTGTGCATTGAGCAGAGACAGCACTGTGAGGGGAACCTGTCTGCGGCGGCTCGGAGCGGCTGAACACGTCTCTCCACGCTCCGTCCAGGAAGGAGGAGCTGTAGCGGTTGTCCAGGGCGCCGAGATGTTTGGCAACAGGATGGGAGCCTGCAGGAGAAGGGTGGATTATGTCGAGTCAGAACGATCCAGGTCAGGAAAAGTCCGGACTTATTTCTCAGTGTAACAATTTAGAAGTCCATGAAAAAGAAAGAAAGTGGAGGTATGCTTTCAAAAGAATCACTCGCTGTGAAAACATGAGCAGGCTGTAGTCTGACATTCCCAGAGTTCTAGTAAAACGCCTCCTGCAGCATGACTCGGCAGGAAACAAAAACTCTTCTTCATCCCAGTGGAAACAACAATCATCTCTTACCCAGCGGCACGACCAGGAAGCGCATGTGGTTGAGCCAGTCGGACGTCTTGTTGGCGAGCTGGGTGACGAAGAACTGCAGGATCGCTCCCAGGTAACTCTGGCTGCCCACCGCCGCCACTTTGACGGCACGCGGCATGGACGAGTTACAGTTACAGCTGTGGGAAGAGAGAAAGAGAGAGGTGATATAAAGGCTGTGTGGAGGTGGATCTGTGGAAGTTCAGCACTCTGTATCATCCATCGACGTCCGAGAATAGCACACAGAGAAAGGTTGCAGTACACATCAGAGACAAGATGACAAATGCAACAGCAACTTGACCTTTAAATAAAAACTCCATAAATCCAACGAGGAGGACTTCAAATGCAAAAATAAATCTTTAAAAACAATTATTTGATGCAGAGCTTGAAATATAAAATCGTACATAATCCTGAAGAAGCAGGATTTAATATTTTTAAAGGCTTTATATGTGATTTTTTTTGATCCAGCAGATGTCGCCCTTGAGCAACAGCATGAAACCAAAACAACTCGCGATGCATTGTTGTGTTAGCATGCTAAAACTAGCGATCTTTATTATGCTCGTATCTTCACACTGCATGTAAATTAACCTGAAATGAGCGTGATCTAGAAACACAGTTAAGCAGTGAGTACAGTATGTTATTCTTCTTTTCTCTAGTCCCCCAATTAAACAACTTTTATACACGAGGGGAGGAGTCAGCCGGCCGTCCGGCCGATGTAAACAAAGTGAAGATAGGACTCTGAAAACTCTGAAAACATCACAGACAGTGGGACTCGGGTGTTACACCCATTGTAGACAGTCATGACTCACAGAGTTATTTTCAGAGGATATACTTGATTTATATTATATTGAAGTGTGAAAAATCACATATGAAGCCTTTAAACGCCTCGTTAGACTTCCTTAAAGGTGGGGTTTCTGATTCCTTCTTCAGAAGCTCCACCCGTTTAACCCGAGTATAAAAAAAGCTGTTATCCAAACCATCATTGTGTTTCCTTTCTTTACCATCTTTTCCACTTTGTATTTCTATTGAATCAAACTGTAAACTGCACACTGACAGAAAAGACAAACGAGACGTCAGGCTTGGAGAGAGGGAGAAAACAGGGTGAGGAAGGAGGAGGAGCGATCGGAGAGAGAAAGTTTGTTTTGGCACAAAAGAGGTCAAACTTCTCGATATGGAGTCAGGAGGAGGGAGACGTGTGGAGGATGGAGGAGAAGAAGAAAAATAAAAGGAGGTCAAGCAGAGGGTAGAAAACAGAAAAATAAGGCTGCAGGGAAAAGACGATGAGTCATGCTGCCAAACAAAGGGGGCGGGGGGGGGGGGGGGGGGGGGGGGGGGGGCTTGAACTCTGAATGTGTTCTTGTGTTTCTGTGTGTTCATCTCACGGAAACACACACACACACACACACACACACACTCACAATTTCTGTATGCGAGTGAGCACGGCAGACAGGACGGCCTGGATCTCGGCCGACGAACACGTGCACACCACGGGATGCCTCTGCACCTGGAGCTGCTCGGCGACATACTGCGACACAAGAAGAAGAAATGTGATG